TTTAGTCCCAGACTTTTGTGTTTTTGCTCAATTTAGTCCCTCATTTGTTATTCTGTCCATTTGGTGTTAAGTAAATAGACAATTCCGTAATTTTAATATTGGCATCTCTTTACTCATAGACATGTGAACTGCGAAATCCTTTTGTTTTTTTACGAATTACTCCCAGAATTACTCCTAAAACTGCGAATATAAAATTTGATTTGCAGGTCCGGGAGTAATTCTGGGTGTAATTCGTACAAGAAAGATGAATTTCGCACTTCACAAGTTGAAAGTAAAGAGAGATCAATATTGATATTATTGAATTGCCCCTTTATTTAACACCAATTTGACGGAATAACAAATGGAGGACTAAATTGAGCGAAACACAAAAGTCTGGGACGATATTAGGTCACCAAAGTCGTTTAGGACGAAATTGAGAAAAATCATTATAATCAAGGACGATTTTGGGTATTAACTCAAATGTGAAATTACCACTAAATTAAAGAAAAGGGATCTTTGCGGAATTAACTCTTTCCAATATTACCTTGACATGTAGCATTGCACATCTGATCCGGGATGATCCAGTCGAGAACCACCGGTAGCTTGTGCACATCCCATTTTTTGGTAAGCATTGTGGAGGAAAAGATGAACTCCTCTTTCTGCACCACGAAGGCGTAGATGCAGTGATAATGGGGATAGGAATCCGTGGTGGTGTCCAGTAAAACGCCAGCGTCCCTCGCCACATTATTAATTCCGATTTCGCAACACCCAACTCCGGCGCACGTCCCGTTCTTGACATCTTTCATTTTGCCACAGGAGGTCATACAACCTTCTACTTTGTTTGACGCAACATAGTCCTCCTCGTAGACGTCGAGATAGTTTTCTGTAACAACAGCGAAAGCATTGCAGCCGACAGCAACGAATTTATTGGCGGTCTGGTTGACGTAGAAATTTGCCGGTGTGGGCTCTGATGCAATCTCGGAAACTGGCGTATCCGTCTGGTCTAAACACTGTTGAGCTATGCCCTTGTTCACAATCAACTGCCCTTCAATTGATATATCCCTAACCTCCACGGCGCTATTTGTTATAAATGGCTTTGGAGGATGAAAGGAGGTTTTGCAAGTGATGGAGAAGTTTGAGTTTAGAGCGCATTCTTTTGTCAAACCAAAGGGAAATGGGATGCTTACGTTCCCACAATGATCAATGCAGTTGGGTTTGGCTATGGAGGAAGGAGAAAAAGAACCTAGTACTACTACTGCCGACAACACAAGTAGTAGTAGTACAAGGAAGCAGCTCATGTTGTTGAACGGACTATACAGTTTCGAAATGATAACAATATAATTCAAATTATGCTTGTTTTGTGTTGGATATGCATGTAACTTCGTTTCCAGCTACTATATATAATGAAAAACTTATGTGACATGGGGCCAATGGTTAGTGTGTAAATGAGAAGATTTGTAAGAATTAGAGAAAAATGTGTAAATACTATGGTCATTACCTTCTTTAAAATAGGGTTTTCACCAAGAATGCATGTAAATCCAATATTCCATTACTACCTTTTTATGTAATTTCTATCTTAGCTTTTTCCTGAATTTTGCATTAATGTGGAGAGAGAATACCTTTTCTCTCTCCTGAATTTCTCCTCCTTAGCCATGCCCTACCCAAAAACACTTCCCTCTATGATTATTACACCAAAATTCCCATTTTATATTGAATTTTACCACATGTATTTTCAAATTTTATTTTCTCACTTTTACTCTATAATGTGGTAAACAAGGATGAGATATTTTTGTCATGTGAGTCTCAAGAAAAGTGTCTGCATCAAAGATTTGTGAGAGGGATAGAAATTGAGAGTAAGAAATGAAAGTACAGTATTTTCCTTTTATATTTATTATAGTATTATACTTCAATACCAATAACATTATTTATTGCCCAAGCCCCAACTACTTCTCGTTGCGGTGAAGTGCGAACCGGCGGCTCCTTCTCCTTTACTGTTTACGGCACACCAGAAGTTCCAGCGAGACAGTGTAGATGGCGGCTCCTTTTTTATTTATTTTTTATTATTTTTTTAAGAGTAAAAGACATTTTTAGTCCTAAATTTATAGTGGCTTGGATAATTTTAGTCCTTTATAAAAAAATTTGCCATTTTATGGACAGAGTTATTGTGGCGAGGACATTTTTGGTCCTCCGTCTATATTTCTGTTAGATAACCGTCTGAGAGAGGGGTAATTACGCCAATTTAGGCTATCTCCTTCTATCTATTATATCTATGTGTGTTTTGTTTTCTTCTCGGTCATAATTCGAAGGAGTCGGAGAGTCCAAGTTGCAGTTGTACGAAGAAATTGCCGGAGAATCGAAGCTGCCAAACAGGTTACTAATCAAATAGATAGAAGGAGAATCGAAGCCGCCAAACACACATTGATATAATAAATAGAAGGAGATAGCCTAAATTGACGTAATTGCCCTTCTCTCATACGGTTATCTAACAGAAATATAGACAGAGGACCAAAAATGTTCTCGAAATATAGACGGAGGACCAAAAATGTCCTCGCCACAATAACTCTGTCCATAAAATGGCAAATTTTTTTATAAAGGACTAAAATTGTCCAAGCCACTATAAGTCTAGGACCAAAAATGTCTTTTACTCTTTTTAATAATTAAATAGGTAACGTGTTAGCAACCTGTAAAAAAAAACAATCGAACAAATTTAGCTGGTAAGTGTAGCTGATTAGACTTTAATTCAGTTCGTGGTGGGAATTGAGCACTTCGTAGTGGTAGATGGGCCTATTTAACACTTGTGCCTTATTATTATTATTATTATTATTATTATTATTATTATTATTATTATTTAAGTTTCAACTTTTGTAATCTTTTAAAGTAAATCTGATCATGTAGAGGTGGTTTTTTTTTTTTTTTTTTTTTTTTTTTTTTTATTCGACGGAGACTAAAGTTCAATCTTTTTCAACGAAGGTATGACAAAATAATTAAGATAGAACATGACATACTTTCTTCTCACGACATATAAATCGAGTGTTCAACGCGCGGGGTCAACGTCGTCTTGTGCTTTACTCGTTTAAGTCTCCTTAGCTCCAAGGACCACAACTTATTGTATGAAGGAGTGACCCTCACTGCACGGCATTCATGACCTCTTTTGGGTCTACTTTGCATTGTAGACCCTAGTTTAAAAATAACTTTCACATTCTATATCTATAATTGACACGTTCTGTATCTATAGTCACGTTCTGTATCTGTAGTTGATAGTTTTTGTACTTGTAACTATCATATTATGTGTCAGTAATTATCAACTTATTTGTTTATCTGTACAAAAATTATTAATTATAAGTACAAAATGTGCCAACGGAAGGTTCAAAATTTTTATATCAGGGTTCACAATTCATATGAACCCTAATCCATGGTATAACAATTGTAAGGTTGAAATCAAAAGATTAATTTGGGTCGATCATTGTTAATTGGGGACATAAAATGAGATGAAGAAAATATAAGTATACCGTCTTTGTTAATTTTAAAATATTAGAATTAGTTACAATTGATTGTTGTTGGTGTATAAGAAGATTAAGTGATTGAATTCACTCAAGAGTGGAAATAACAAAAATTTACAATATCAATCAACATCAGTATCGATCATACATGATATCATTAATTCATTATATATAACCATACATAATTATTTTATGTATTATTGATTGTAATTTTTAATGATACTTTATGTTACGATTGACATTACTATCAATCGATACTTTATAATTTTCCACATAGCATAAAATATACTCCGTATACAATAATAACCTTGCTAGTTAATTACTCTGATCTTTTATCAAATAAAAGTTGTCAATTATTTTGTTAGCAACAACTTTTTTTTTTTTTTTACATATTTAACTGATATTTGCTTAACTAATTAACTTAATATTCCAAAGTTTGAGGGATAAGGATGAAACTCAAAATCTAGAATTAAAGAATCAATATTAACATTATATTAGTTTTTCCAAGTTCAAAACTAATCTTTTGAATTAGCAAATATATATCCTAAAAGTATAAATAAATAAGGAAAATTGGCAAATAGGCTCTCGTACTTTACCTAAAAAGTCAATTAGGCACCTAAACTTTTTAAAGTTGCAATTAAACATATCAACATCTCATTTTAGTACAATAAAGTCCAAAAACAAATTACTGACCTGATATTAAATTTCACTAGGGTTCCAATCAACATTCCGACAACCTCCGACTAACTTCGGTGATATTTCCAGCAACAAATCGACCGACGACCGTAGAACGGTCGACGGTCAGTTTTGAATTAACAAAGAAGGCAACTGGGTTACTTTCTTCAGTGAAGTGGGGGTGGGCGAGCTAACCACCCAAGCTTTATAATATAAGTAAAAAATTCAATAAAATACAATCAAAATTGAAGTTCAAAAGCTAAAATAATACAGAATTCAATTAAAGAAGATCCAACATAATATTAAATTTGAAATACATTAATTATTCTAATTTTTATCACAAGAATAATAGAAAGATTAGAAACAAATCATCATATACATTATTCCCAGATTGAGCATATAGCTAATTTGCTTAAATGAAGGGGTTGCAATTATCTTCCGATAGCGGCGGGAAACTCCATATGATAGTATGGTTCATACAGTTATGTGAACCATGATCCGCACAATAATGATTGCACAAATGATCATATATTTTATTTACACAACATCTAATAGTGAGTGTAAATTTTTCTCATCACAAAAAAAAAAAAAAAAAGAAAAAAGAAACCAGCTAATTTATTGAGATGAACTAGCTATAGTTACAATTATCTTCCAGCACTAGTGGAAACTCCATATCAATTTTTATGCTATCATATCCAGTTGTTGATACACTAAAATTAAGATCATATCCCAAAGGAATTGATGACTCCATAACTAAAGCCTGTGATTCCATGGAAGTCGATGAATTATTAGCCCAGGGATGTTTTACTGCTCTCCTCAATCCACTTAGTTCCATTGCTACTTCCTTCATCTCGGCCAATCCTCCCCCTTGAAATTCAAACACCTTTTTGCAAGTAAGGCAACCTCTTGCAACTCCTTAGTAGTGCTTCCTTCGCATAAAATGTTGCCATCAAGAATTTTGAACAACTGATTTCCTTTCAACAATGAAAGAAAATGTTGAGATATATTTCTCTCTAATTCTGGGCCGTCAAAGGATATCGCCCTCTTACTCGTTAGCAATTCCATAAGGACAACTCCAAAGCTGTAAACATCGCTCTTTTTTGTCAAATGGTGGATTTGCATGTACTCGGGATCTAGATAACCAAATGTTCCTTGCAGCATTGTTGTCAGTTGAGTTTGATCTTGAGGGACTAATCTCGATGCACCGAAATCAGATACCTTGGCAATATAATCGTTATCGAGAAGAATATTCACATATTTAACATTTCTGTGGATGATGGAAGGAGAGGCCGCAGAGTGCAAATAAGAGAATACCTCAGCTGTTTCAGTAGCTATTCTTAAATGAGTTGACCAAGGTAGAGCCGATGTTTTGTCTTTGTTGTGGATATGCTCTGACAACGTTCCATTATTTATGAACTCATAAACTAGAAATGGAACTTCTGTCTCTAAACAACATCCAGAGAGTTTGACTATGTTTTTGTGATTGATTTGAGAGAGCAGAATTACCTCAATCGTTATGTTGTGCATCCATATGCACCATTCTTGGTGAATACGGGTGCATACGACGCCGTTTTGGAGTAATGGTGCCGTTAGTGGCACCGTTTCACTCCACCAATCAATTTTTTTAAAAAAAATAATAAAATACAAAAGCATCTGTGCATCGTTTCCTCTCCCATATCACTTCCCTCCACTACAGAACATAACTCTTTCTTCTCCCACACGATTCCCTCCAACTGCTCCCATCGTCGCCATTTTTTTTTAGCTTTTCTTCCACATTTCATCGGGTTTGCTCAAATTCATCGTCACCATTGTTGCCGGCGTCAGTCGTCGTTGTCGCAGATCACTTCCACTCTACAGCCGAGCTCAACTTCTTTCTTAGATAGGTATTATGTATTTTACGTTGTTACATCATGGATTTATATAAAATAAGCATGAATTTTCAGTATAATTTCTGTAATTTTAGACTAGGGTTTTGCACTGTTTAAAAAATGTATGAATGTATAGTTATATGATTATGAATGTGTATGTTTATGATTATGAATGTGTATGTTTATCATTATGACCATATCTGTCTCATCTTTGGTGCTTTTTGAGATTGTACTTATGAGTTTATAGATTTGTAGTTATAAGATTCTGGATGTATAGTACTGAGTTTATGAATTTCAATTCATACAAATATGAAAGGGGTATAGTTATGAGTTTATGGATATGTTGTTATACAATTCTGGAAGTATAGTTGTGCGTTTATGGAATTGTATTTATACAACTTTGGATGTAGTACTCTGTGAACCTTACTCTGTGCACCAAACTGCATTCAAGTGTTTTTAGCATAATTTGCCTTGTGGGTATAGTTATGAGTTTATGGATATGTAGTTATACAATTCTGGAAGTATAGTTGTGTGTTTATGGAATTGTAGTTATACAACTTTGGATGTAGTACTCTGTGAACCTTACTCTGTGCACCAAACTGCATTAAAGTGTTTTTAGCATAATTTGCCTTGTGGGTATAGTTATGAGTTTATGGATATGTAGTTATACAATTCTGGACGTATAGTTGTGTGTTTATGGAATTGTATTTATACAAATTTGGATATAGTACTCTGTGAACCAAACTGCATTCAAGTGTTTTTAGCATAATTTGCCTTGTGGGTATAGTTATGAGTTTATGGATATGTAGTTATACAATTCTGGAAGTATAGTTGTGTGTTTATGGAATTGTATATATACAAATATGGATATAGTACTCTGTTAGGAATATATTGTATGAGTTTTGATGAGCCAAATGTATTTTGTAGACCCCAATTTTATTTTATTTGAGTCAGTTCTGGTTCACAAAGTATGGTGCACCCCTGCCATGAAGCCTACGTGAAAGCTGTTTTGAAGGAAGAATAAATGTAAGCGGGATCATAGCTTAACACATTTATGAAGCATTAAGTCATCAAATGTTGAGATGGATGAGATGAAAGAAGAGTTGTTGAAGCACACTTGATACTTGATGATTTATAGTTTGAATCCCATTGAGAGCATTTTGGTCTAAAAAGGGTTAGACAAGCTATGGTGAAGTGCTATCATGAAGTAGTAGACATGAAGTAATATCACGAAGTATGATATCGGGGGGTGATATCATGAAGTATATCAGGTAGAGCTATCATGAAGAAATAATTTTTATAACATGATATTATGTGATATCGGATGATGACGTCACAACGTGATATGCTTCTACAAGAGTTGTGAAACTCACGTGAAGAGATGAGACAAAAGAATTTAAGTCTTGAGATGTATCAAATGGTTAACTAGTTGAGTTGGAAGAAGCCTTGCTAAGCAATTAAAAGATACATGGTTTGACTTTCACTACTTGAAGTAATTTTTGTCTTATGAAGACATGATAACAAGATCATGATACTAGTCTAACATGATACTAGTTCATGATACAAGGTGAACATGATATACTATCGGGACATGACATCATCATGATACAATTGTTAGACAGAAAGTTTTTTGAGAAGCTCTGTTTTGACGAAGGAGTCGAAGAAGCTGATACACGAAGGAAATATTTTAAATACTCAAGCAAGAATCAACAGATAAATTATTTGATCAACTTGACATATTAGATCAATAATTCAAAAAGTTTTTTGAGAAGCTCTGTTTTTGCGAAGGAAGACGAAGGAGTCGAAGAAGCAGATACACGAAGGAAATATTTTAAATACTCAAGCAAGAATCAACAGATAAATTATTTGATCAACTTGGCATATTAGATCAATAATTCAACAAAAGTCATGCTTGAGAGTAATTCAAATTTGGAGGCTACACATCCCAAGAAAAGCTTTGTCAGATTAAAGAAGAGCAACGACAAAATTATTCAAATCTTCTGACAGACGACGAAATGACTTTGCAGACCAAGTTGGCAAAATTATTTGATCAACTACAAATTCAAAATGGACGATCAAGATCGAAAGTTGATCAACGGGCAAATAGCTTTCATTGGCTATAAAATGCCCAAGCAGACTTGAAGACAAGTACGGGGAATTACGAAGAAAATTATCCAATCAAACATCAAGTGATATATTGAGCTATATACGATATAATTCAAGTCTTATAGAAGAAATCATTGTATTTCATTGTAAATCTTCTACTGAGTGTAGAAAAAGGGGTAGAGTAACTAGAGAGAGTGAAAAACCCAGTTGGAGTGTAGCTTTGTGCGTAGCACTCGGTTGTAAAGGGTAGAGTAACAAGGGGAGCTTGTGAAAACTCGGTGCGAGCGTAACTTTGTGCGTAGTTCTCGTGGTGTAGGAGTACATCTTGGTGCGAAGTACTCGGGAAGGCGAAGTAACAAGAGGAGCTTGCGAAAAACCTTGGTGGAGTGTAGCTTTGTGCGAAGCACTCAGAGAAGTGTTGGTGATCGAAGAATAGTGAATTTCCTCCTTGAAGTGAAAGGAGAAGAGTGGACTAGGAGAATTACACCACCTCTGAACCACTATAAATCTCTCTCTCTCTATTTAATTACTGCTCAATTATATTCCGTGCATGCTTATATCAACTGTGAACTAACCCGTTACGATTTATCGCGTATCTTTATCTGTCTGGGTTTGATAGTTCCCTCGTTTGCATGCAAGTGAAATTTTACATACATCATCCTTAATCTATATCAAGTGTTTCTAACGTGATACATGTATAGAATCTCTCTTTGAGCACTACACAATTAAAGCATAACACTTTGCCGTTACATTTTCCGCTGTGCACACTCTAAGTTGTTATACTTGTTTATTCTTGTTACTTAGAGTTGAAGTTACCAAAGTGTTGCTTGCAGAAGTAAAATTGAAAAGTTAGAGAAGTCTATTCACCCCCCCCCCCTCTCTCTAGACTTCTCGCCACCCTTTTCAGGACCAACATACTCTGTCAACCTTGTTCTGTGCACCAAACTGCATTCAAGTCTTTTTAACATAACTTTGTATGATTTTTATTTGCAGAAATGGAAGACTCAAATCCGAGGGATGACACTACACTTGGACAATTCGTCAGGTCAGTAAAGAAGACAAAAACCAGAGCGATATTGAACTCGCAGACTGCTCAGCTCACCCCTGCACAAAACGATGAACATGAAATCACTGATTCTGCAGAGCCTTCCACAAGGCAACAACAGGAAGCTGTCAAAAGAAAGAGGGAAAAACTAGCAAAACGAGAACAAGCACATAAACCTGACACGGATTACTTCAGCACGCGGATGGGTCCCAGACAAATGTTTGACCTTGTCAACCGCCTATCACAGGATCAGAAGGATGCTGTTGTTGATATCGATTTTGGAGGCATGCTACATCTGCAATTCTCAAGCAATTATTCAAAATTGGTTGAATATCTTCTGAAAAGATTTGATGTTTTCAAGTTAGACTTTGTATTGGAAGGTGATATTCTGCATGTCAACGAAGAGGACGTTGAATACACGTTGGGGATCCCCCGGGGAAAGAGGGATGTTGAGGAGGGTACAAAATTTGAGGAAAATTCTACGGCTGCGTATAATAAGCTCCTAACTGACTGGAGGAAGAGGTGGAATGTCCAGGCAGGGTCACCCATAACAACCAAGATGCCTGAGAGATAATCAGAAGAGGTGACCAGGGTGATGCCTTCAAGAGAGACTTTATGGTGTTCGCTGTTTCCTCCCTGCTCCGAGGAAACACTGGAAGATATACCAACTACCGAGTTCTTAAGTCGTTGCTCAACATCCGGGCAATTTCAAGACTGAATTGGTGCCGATACACATACAGGTCTCTCATTGATTCAATTGAGATTTACAAGGAACATCCTACAAGATCCTTTCCAGGGCCAATGGTATTCATCCTGGTAAGATCCTATTATACCTCCTATTATACATAAACTGCTTTTAATTATGGAATTATAGTTATGCAATTATGTAATTATAGTTATGCAATTCTGGATGTGTGGTTATGCAGATATGGATGTGTGGTTTTGCAGTTATGGAATTATAGTTTTGCAATTATGGAATTGTAGATATAAGATTATGGATGTGTAGTTATGCAATTCTGGATGTGTAGTTTTGCAATTATGGATGTGTATTCTTTCAATTATGAAATTGTGTTTTTGCTGTTATGGAAATATACTTTTGCAATTATGGAAATATAGTTATGCAATTATGGATGTGTGGTTTTGTAATTATGGAATTATAATTATGCAATTATGGAAGTATAGTTATGCAATTCCGGATGTGTATTTTTAGAATTATGGAATTATAGTTATGCAAATAAGGATGTGTAGTCATGCAATTCTGAATGTGTAGTTGTGCAATTATGGAATTATAGATATCCAATCATGGGTGTGTAGCTATACAATTCTGGATGTGTAGTTATTCAATTCTTTAACGTGCTCTTCTGTAATTTTTGAAGCTGTTCTACTTCGACCGGGTAGAGTTCAAAGGCATGGCTGTCAACCGAACATTCCCGGCAATCAAGGCTTGGACAAAGATGCTTGTACGCAAGAGAGTATCAGCTGAAATAAGATCAGGGGGTTTTGGAAAG